TGAAGTCACATGTGGTGCAGGGCCGTTGCCAGTACTTTAATCCCCAAGCGACGGCAGAGACAAAGGCGGTGGAGGGACTGTGGACTGAAGCTTGCCTGGATGGCAAGTTACAGGACGTTTTGCGCTCTTCATCAAATCGAATGCGTTTGACTGTGGTGTGTCAGGCCTGTGGCAAGGGCTGCCAACGCGCTGCTGACTTAGCGCTCCATCTACAGACAGCGCACTCCAGGCTGTGGCGCTTGTCCAGGCGTCTTACTTTAGTTCTGGTTGCCGCCTTTGCCAAAAATCAGTGTTTTTGCAATCCAATGCTGGGGGTCAAGAGAGGCAATCATATTTGCCTGCCACTGCGACAGATTGCAATGTGTTTTCACAGGCTGAATCGAGAGCCCTTTGCTCCCACCCTGGTGACTGACACAACGCTGAAGGCCATCTTTTCAGAGCTCTTGCCACGTGCAGCCCAGTACAAGTTGGAACAGAAAGTGGTTCACAGACAGTTTCATGATCTTTGGCAGGACCCTGAGATACTGCAATTGATGCGCAGCCAGTGCCTTTTTTGCGGTGCTCGACCATTGCCTGCTGACCTGGCATTGCACCTACGTGAGGAGCATCCTTGTGGACATGAAATGGTTCTCTTTTACATGGAGCAGCTCTTGCCAGTTGTTCATGCAATCAATCCTGATGATTATCAATGCCATTTGTGTACATTGATTTTCAACCTTCCTGCTCACTTGCGCCCTGATGAACCACTGCATGAACGTGTTGTTTTGGCCCAGTCACACCTGCGTGGATCCTGCCCTGTGCTCATCCAAGTGGCCCTCTTGCTGGGCTCCATACTGAATGGCAGCAGACTCCAACATGGACTCCTTTCTGGGGGACACCGACCAGAGCATCTCGGAGCAGATGATGAGCACCTTTGGCCAGCTGGCGCCGCTGCTGGACAAGACACTGAACCTGGCCCCAAACCCTCGCAGGGCGAAGGCCCCCAGACGAGGAGGGCCAAGTACCCCAGAAGCAGACGAGGTCAGTCAGGCCAAAACACCCAGCAAGGCCCTTCAGCTGATCAACACCATGGCACATCTCTTGATACGCCACGATCAAGAAATGCACAGTCTTCGCAGAACAGATCAATTCATTCTTTTTTTGAATCCAGATCCGACAGGAGCGTTGCATCTTTTGGTCCAGGAGTCCACACAGTGGAGACAGGGGATGGAAACCAAGCCACAACAACTTCATCAGCCACTGAGACAGCACTTGGTCCTGGCCCTGATCAAATCGCTGCACGTCAATGCAGGGAAGATTGTGGAGAGCAAGGACACGGAACCATTGTACCAAACCTTGGTGCAGATGGGCTTGATTCTGGCAGACAGGAGCTTCCCCTTCCATCGATGGGATCAACATCAACAGAAGCTGGTCATCGACAAAAAGCAGCCCATCAGTGCCCAGAAGATGTTCCAACATTTGACGGAACTCCAAGAGACGCTGTTGGACAAGGAGATTGTGGTTCGTTTCCATGCCTTGAGCGCTCCAAAGGGGACATCCACCAAGGCCGTCCCATGGCGCCTTCAGATCAACCTGCGCAGCGACAGGGTCTACGACCTGCTTTTTCAGCTGTGTCATTGCTCAGTTTGGATGGCAGTGGGGGCCACAATGAAACCACATTCCCTGAACCAGTCACCGATGGCCACGACTCTTCAGACGTTGATGGGCTCCTCCAAAGGCAAGGGCCGCGGCAAAGGCCAACTCAAGGGCAGGACTTCTCCGAAACAGGAGACATGAGGCTGCTTTGCAAGGGCCGGGAAGACACAGACCTGATTCCATCTCTCGTGTCTAGCTTGTACAAGCTGATATTGACCAATGATGGCAACTGGTGCTACCTCAACAGCTGCACCTACTGCCTCTTATGGACGCTTTTGAACTTGGATGCCATACCATCCAATGCGTGGGGACCACATCATGCGACTCTGACAGCCTTTTTGCAGCAACATGCTGCAACATCGGCAAAGCTGGCCGAGTTTCCATGGGTTAGGGGCATTTTGTGTGATTGGGGGCCTAGCCAGGGCCAGAAAGATTGTGCAGAATGCACATGTCGTCTGTTGACTTGGCTCAGTTCAGGAGCATTTAACATGCGATGGGAAAGACGTTTGGAAACAGCAGATGGTCTGGTTGTTTTGGACTGCAACACTGAGCTCACTCCCATCACTTTGACCATCACACCGCACATGCACATGACTGGCCATTGTACTTTCACAGATCTGATTTCAACCTGGATGCAGGAGCTTTCCATGAAGACAGCGCTGTTGCAGGCGCCACCATGTCTCTGCTTGGCCATTGACCGCTTTTTCCAGGCGGCTGATGGCGCCATTGAACGCAGTTTATGCAAACTTGAGATGGTGACGGAAGTCAACATGCCAGTTTTCATTTCCACAGATTTGCGATTTGATTTCTCTGGATACATACCGGTTGCGGGTGTGGCGCATCTTGGAACAGACCTTGCTGGGCACTGCCGTGCCTTGCTGAAGCTGATGCCGTCGATGGTCACAGCGTGTCAGCCTGCCGCATGGTTGACAACAGAAGATGACACAGCACCTCAACCAATCTGGAATGTTCCGACTTGGTTTGCACAGAATCTGACAGTGGTGTGGCTGGTGCGCACTGATTGCCTGCGCCAACACACCTATCTCCCAATGACAGTTGCCACCGTGAACCCTGAGAACCCTGAGGGCATGCTTGAACCCATGACAGCATCCAGTGTAGTAGAAGAAATGCGATCCGACAGTTCCTATGCTGCACCCATGAATGAGCTGCTGACTCTCCTTCAAGCTCAGACCGGCGCCACTGATTTGACATGAGGTGACTCTGGATTTCTTCCTTTCTCCAATCAGTTCAAGATGGCTTTTCACCTTCATCTTGATGTCTCACATGGCCTATTTGTTTCCTTCATGGAACCAACGATGAATTTTTCGTTGAGGGTAGGCACAAGCCTTTTCGGATGTTGCAGGTGAAAAGGTGTGTAGGAAAAAAAACACACAGACACACACACACAGACACACACACACAGACACACACACACAGACACACACACAGACACACACACACAGACACACACACACACAGACACACACACACAGACACACACAGACACAGACACAGACACACACACACAGACAGACACACACACAGACACACACACAGACAGACACACACACACACAGACACACACACAGACAGACACACACACACACAGACACACACACACACACGCCCCTTTGCCGCCACGAGTGCGGCACCCAAGTCATCCAGCCATTAGCGGCTGAAGGAGCTGTTTGGGGGGTGTTCGAACGTTTCTTGTCCGCCTGTTGTCCATTTGCCATTGCAGCTGCGATCTTTGCTGTTGACACAGCATCTGCTTGATTTCAACCACGATTTTTCATATTTTGGCACGATTGATTCCCCACACTGTGATTTGCAATTTTACAGCATTTGACCCTTTGGACTTTGCATCCTGGATTTTTCTGCGAGTGTTGCTGCACGTGGCTTGCCTGGCACAACTTCTACTCTGGTTTTTTACCTGGATCATTGCTTCAATTGTTCTGCTGACACCGTTTAATTTTTTCGCTTTCTGCGGTGGGGCGATAACAACTACCATACAGTGGTGGACGAAGACACCGGACACTCATTTTGCCTTCTGCGGTGGGGCTTTTATCATTTGTGCTTTGGCTGCGCGGGTTTTGAGCTACAATTTTTGGTTGCTGCAAGCCTTCTGCAGTGGGGCATATACACTGGAGACTCCTGCGCGATTTTTCTTGCTACATGCAGTGATAGCGCACAGTGCGACTCATATCACAGGTAGACATCAACTGGCCTTCTGCACTGGGGCTTCACAGTGGTGGACGGAGACACCGGACATCCATTTTGCCTTCTGCGGTGGGGCTTTTGCAATTTACGACTCTTTATTTGTGCGTATTTGGTGTTACAAATTTTGGCGATTCCTGGCCTTCTGCAGTGGGGCATTCACACTGACAACACAGCAGTGGACGGTGACACCGGATACTCCTTGTGCCTTCTGCGGTGGGGCTCTTGCGGACAGTGTTTCGACAGTGAGCTTTTGGCGCTACACCCATTGGCAGTTTCTGGCCTTCTGCAGTGGGGCATATACACTGGTGACAGATACAAGCATTTCTCTGTTTTCAGCAGTTGCTTACAGTGTGTATCATACTACAGTTCGACACCACTTGGCCTTCTGCACTGGGGCTCTACAGTGGCTGCAAACAAACCGGATTATTGCTTGGGCCTTCTGCAGTGGGGCTGTCCACCCTCTTCAAGCGTGGTCACACTGGCAACATTGGCAGCACAGGATCCAGCATTCCCTCTGCAGCGGGGTTCATACACTGAATTTACTTACACCGTTCTTGACGGTCTTCTGCGGTGGGACCATTTTGCATTTTTTGGGCTTTACACAAATTTGTGATTTTTGGCGTGATTTTTCCACAATTTTGTTTGTTTGGCAAAACATCATTTTGTGCAGTAACGCAACCTTCTGCGGTGGGGTTCTCACTGAACACCGGAATCAGCTGTTATACGTTTGTCATTTGACTTGCAACAGTGCACGCTACCTGGTTCAAAACTGCAGACAATTTTTGGTGTGGGATCGTGCCTTGGGTATCAACGGCCTGTGCTGGTTTTGGCACAGACATTGGATCCATTTTTGCTGCAGCTGGACGTGGTTCTTGCTGGCTAATTTGGCCCTTGAGCTGGCCCTGCAGTGGCATTTCATTATTTCAGTTTTTCGTGGTTGGTTGGACAAACAGTGGATTTCAAACAGACTCCCGACAGCTGGACATCAAAGATTGACTTGGTGGCCTCCACAGTGGGGCAATCCCGGTCCCAAGTCCGGGCATTCCAGAGGTTGCAGAATCATCAAATTTTTGCTCAGGTATTTGCTGATTTACTTCATTATGGCTGATTTTCTCTGGAATGGGGGTGAGGGTTGCGGCAGGACCATGACTGCCGCTGGAACATCGTCCTCAATGGACATTTTGCACCCTGACAATGGAGGTGTGAAGCTTCATGGAATGCGGCCAGAAGCGAGCTTCGGCCCAATCACCTGGCCCCATGGAGGAACGAAGGTGGTGAAACGCAGCATCAAACGTGCCTATAAAAGAGCTCTGCTTCACGGGGTCAGCTGGTACCGAGGGAGATGTTTGAAGCCCCAAGACTTCCAAATCCCTGCACAGGTTTTGCCAGAACAGCCTGCAAGTCCAAAAATCTCCTTACAGCAACAACAGCGTAGTGGCAGAGGTGGTAATGATCCTCACCAGTCCAAAAGACATCTAAAGTTTCTGCAGTGGAACTCTTCAGGACTTTCACATGCGCGACTGGATGAGTTGAAGTGCTGGCTTCACGCCCAAAACCTTGACATTGTTGTAATATTGGAGACGCACTGGCGATTTACTGGAGAATGGAGTGATACAGATTGGAACTTCATCCACAGTGGGGAGCCTGGCTCCTCGGGTGCAGGTATCCTCCTCATGATCTCGAAAAGACTTGCCAAGCTGCAGGACCTCCAATGGAATGAGGTTCAACCAGGCCGCTTAGTTCATGCCAGACTGGGTTTTTCTTCACGAAACGTTGACTTGCTTGCATGTTACCAGCATGCCAATACTTCAGGGCAACGACGCCTGGAACACAGACGAAGTTGGTGGTCCCTTTTTGATTCTTATTTGACAAACCTTCCAAGAAGGAACGTGCTCATGGCCTTGGGAGACTTCAATTGCTCCCTTGAAGCTTGTGGTTCCCATGTTGGCACGACCAACTTTCGCACTGATCGGGGGCTTCTACCTGGAGCCCAACATGCTGATGCAGGCCAGTTTCTCTCGATTGTCAGAGCGCATGGACTTGTTGCATTGAACTCCTTTTGTCCTACCCTTGGACCAACATTTCAACATGGAAGTAATTGCTCTCGTATTGATTATTTTTTCACGCGCATCACCACTGCTGATGGTTGTGCCAAAAATGTCAAATATTTGCATGATCTTCCTTTTCTAGGTTCCAAGAAATATGGACATGTCCACATGATTTGCCAACTCAAGCGTTATTGGATCCCTCCAAATGCTGACAGTGGATCCACAGGCATCTCTGCCCAGCAGCGGAAACAGGGACGTGATGCGTGCTTTCTGAACACTGACCAATGGAGCCATTTCCTGAGTGAGTCGGCTCAAAACATGACTGCCTATCTCAATAAGGCGGAGCCCTCAGATCCTGATTTCATTGTCAAACTGCATGCCATTGCAGGTGATGCTTTCAACCGTAGTTTTCCTGCGGGACATGGTTTGCACACAACTCCTCATTGGATATCCAATAGATCGATCATTTTGGACAAATGGCGGCATCGTGAAAGCTGTAAGCACATAACAGTGGTGACGCCTAGCAACGTGTTGCATGCCTGGATGCACATCACCCGATTTCAGGTTCTGAAGCGGCTTCACAAACGTTTTGCCTGGCAGGTCAGACAAAGCCAGTTTCATCAAATTCTTGATGAAGCCCAACATGCAGCCAGTTGTAATGACTCCCATAAATTGTTTCAGACTATTTCCAAATTTTGTCCCAAGCAACCACGCAGAAGGGTCCAGTTAAGAAACCGATTAGGTAGCATTGCATCTCCAGTTGAAGAACTTGCCATTCTCAGTGCATTTGTTCAGAAGATTTGGCAGGGACCAGACCAACTTCCCTTGCCGATTTTGGATGATGATGCCATGCCCTTTACAGAACAGGACTTGCTTCGAGCTTTGCGGAATATTCCCGCCACCAAAGCCGTTGCCAAACCTTTTGTTGCTGGTTTTGTTTGGAAATCGCAAGCCTCTGTCATCACTCCTTTTTTGTATCGAGCTCTATGCACATGGTGGAGTGCAGGAGCAGCCTTCCTGCCTCAGTGCTGGAAAGATGCCTGGATGATGCTCATCCCCAAACCGGGCAAAGCTCCGGTGGTGCCTGAATCATTGCGCCCTCTGGCGCTGCAGGAACCCATCGGCAAGGCAGTGATAGGAGTGCTAGCTCAGAAAGCCCAATCTCAATCACAGTCATGCTTTGCTTCCTTGCCCTTTTGGGCGTATTTGCCCTGCCGATCGACACAACATGCGCTGCAACGAGTAGCGATTCACTGCCGTGCGGCCAGAGCACTGGTGAGCTCCCAGAAACCCACGGCTTTCCACCGATATCAGAATCTCCCAAGTTTCAAAGTTTGTGGGGCCATACAGTTGTTTGTAGACCTGCAACGAGCATTCGACTGCATCTCCAGGGTTGACTTGTTTAGCAGACTCTGTGACGTCGGTGTGAACACCAGGATTGCTCAGCTACTTGCCAGCTGGCACTGCCAGACACACTACCATGTTGCGGTAGGAGGGCACAGCCATGCACTGCCTGTTGGATCTGGCGTACGCCAGGGATGTAAGGCTGCACCCTGGTTATTCAACGCCTTTCTGGCTCTGTACATGCAAGATTTGGAAGCTCATATTGACATGACTTGGCTTAGAGATCACCTTGATCTCTACGCCGACGACTTTCGGGTTGGTTGCTTGTTCCATAGCGAGTATGAGTTAAAGCTGGTTTTACGTAAGTTTGGTATTCTCCTGGAGCAATTACAGCTGCATGGCCTTACCATCAATACTGCAAAATCAGCTATCTTGCTCACCATGGCTGGGACCTCCTACCGAGATGTGCGCGCCAAACTTGTGACCCAGACTGCGGATGGTCAGTGGATCAAAATATTGGGCACCCAAGGGCAGCTCTTTCAGATTCCACTTGTCAAGAAGCTAAAATATCTTGGTTGCATTGTCAGCTACGATCGCATGGAGACTGACACGCTCAAACATCGACTGTCCCTCATGAAGATTGCATTTGATCGTTTGCGCAAGTGGCTCACAGCTAAACATGGACTGACCTTGCCAACCAGAATGCGACTCTGGCAGACATGTGTTGTACCAGTTTTGACATATGGGATTTTTGTGATTGGAGTGACACCAGCAGATCTGCAACGAGTTCAGGTCACGATGTTTACCATGATCAGACAGATTTTGCACAACCACTCATATCGCACTGGCATGACACACAATGCAGTTCTGAGCCACTGGAACCTTTTGCATCCGCTAGTTTTGCTTTGGCAAGCTGCTGACTCCCTATTTCAGTCAGTGACCCAGTGCCTACCTGGTTTGCGATCAGATGACGTTGCGAAAACCATTGATTGGACTGGCCTTGCAGAGGTTAGAGACATGATTTGGAACCACTACCTCACAGGTCTGACCGTGCCTGGTACCGCTTCACTGCCAGTTGCCCAGGCAGATGACATTATCACTTGTGAAATTTGTGGTTTCTTGTGTCAACATGTGAGTGCACTTAGACGTCATTACACTCAGACCCATAAGATTACACCGCACCTCACCTTTGTCCCTAACCCTGCTGATCATATGATTAATGGCCTCCCCCAATGTAAACACTGTTTTCAATCCTTCACTACATGGAGAAGTTTCATGGCCCACATCCAGCGTAGCTGCCAGGTGCTGCACCGCCAGTTGCCACCTGACCAGCTTCCGACTGGTCTGAACCCTGAACGGCATTTTGCCGACATGTCCAACCCAGATGCTGCAGTCAGAGGCTGCACAATGCTCACAGACCAGGAGCTTGCCTTCTTTCGCAGCCTTGAATTTGGACCACGTTTGCAAACCCTGCTCCAAAACAGACAGTGGCAACAGATCCTGCGAGATAAGGCAGCCTGCCAATATATGGCGCACAAATGCATCTTCTGTGGACAATTTGTTGGCAGAGCACATGCTATGCACTTGCATATGAGGACGGCCCATCCCATGGATCATGATGCCATCCACACCAAGGCCACTCAGCTCACCAATATGCATTGTGATGAAACACCATGTGATGCCTGCGGTGTTACATTCCTGTACAATCATGGGTGCAATGTGTGGTATCAGATTTCAGCCCTCCTGGTGCACGGAGCTGGGCACTTTGCCCCCTCTAGCTCCTCTGATACCACCGACAAACTGACGTGTGCCATTTGCGATCTCAGGTGCCCTGATGCCAATGCGCTGCACTTGCATTTGATTGATGTGCACAAATTAGTGAGTAGCTCATGGAATGCTAGCAGAGACAGCCTTGCAGGTGAGCCGGCATGCAGTCATTGCCACAGTTTGTTTGAGACCATGGAAGGCCTTCGCAGTCACATCAACCAGGGTCGCTGCAGAGCTTTCAACCCAGAAGCACCGACAGAATCAAAGCCAGTAGATCCAAACTGGGTCCTTGCTTGCTGCAAAGGTCAGATGAGACAGATCCTTAGGGATGCACGTGTGAGAATGCGCCTGACACTTCATTGTCAAGGGTGCACCAGAACCTACACACGCTCGAACGACCTTTCCCAACACTTGCAAATTGCCCATTCCAAATTGTGGGCTGATGCAAAAGCTCTGACGTTGCAGATGGTTGAACTTTATTACAACTCCTTGGGATGTGTATGCAACCCTTCCTGTGCGGTGGCTCGTCTCAACCACACTTGCCTTCCATACACCCAGCTTGCCATGCAATTTCTCCGCCTTCCGGAAGCTGTTTTTCAACCATGTGAAGTGCTTGAAACAGATCTTGCTAGGCTAGTTCCAAAGGGTTTTCCAGCTGCGCTGCGTTTCAAACTTGAACAATGCCTGATCAATCATGATCTGCGACCGCTCTGGAATGAGGATGACTTGATGCAAGCCCTGAGCCATCAATGCTTGCTTTGTGGCCACATTTGTCCAACAGCAGAACTTTGTCTTCACATGTATGAGGCGCACAACTGCACCAGTGGAGTGATTCAATCATATGTGCAACAACTCATGGTGCAACCAATTGCTCTTCTTGACACTGATTGCTCATGTTTTGCTTGTGGACAGATTTTCAACCACAACAAGCTTGTCACGACGGATGCCCACAAATATGTGCGACAAACACTGGTTCAAGGACACTTCAAGGCTCAGTGTCCCTGTGTACTTCAGTTGGCAGCTGTCCTTGCCTCCTTGCATCATGGCGGAAGATTGGCAGATGGACACCGAAGATGCTTCCAGCCAGGTGTTCCAGGCGTTTCGCAGTCTGGCCCCCTTTCTGGATGGATCACTGAAGCTGACGCCCAACCCGGGAGCTCTCAAGAGACAAAAGGTCCGCCCAGACAGCAAGGACCTCAAGGACGACAAAAGCAACGTCGACTCCGGTCTGACGCCAGCCCTTCAGGTGATGGCCAAGATGCTGATCCATCTGGACAGAGATCAGCAACTGCAGAAACGCGAGGACACATACATCTTCTTCTTCAACAGCGCGGAGGAGACAGGGTCCCTGCACCTGCTTCGCAAGACGGCAGAACAATGGCACAACCAATCGACACAGGGAGCATCATCATTGAGGACACCGCTGAGGCAGCTCCTGTTACAGAAACTGTTTCAGGATCTCATGGACAGGATTCAGAAGCTCCTGGATGCCCCGGAGGGATCAGAACTGATGCAGAAGGCGATGGACGCCATGATTCTCCTGCCAGATCGAACCTTCCCGTACCTGGAATGGAATCCAATCAAGAAGGCGCTGCAGGTGTCCAAAAAGACACCCCTGAGCTTGAACAAAATGCACCAGAACTGCACAGAGATGTTGGACATGCTGAGCGACCCATCGATCATACAACGATTCCATGCCCTCCCGGTGAAGGAGAACAGCAATGTAGCCCCCTGGCGTCTCCAGGTCAGCCTACGGGCGGACAGACCCTGGGAACTACTCCAAGCCCTTGCAAGTTCCAGCGTTTGGACACTGATGGCTACGAGCTTGAAGCCTCACAGCAGGATGCAATCTCCATTGGCGCTGCAACTGGAACAAATGATGAGCTTAACAACTGGGAAGGATCACAAGAAAGGCAAGGGCAAGGGCAAGAGTCACAGACCCTCGCCGCAGACCACCAAGAAGGAGCGCAACACACCATGACACGCACCGATATGATGTCGATTCTCTCTCATGCCGTTATGGAGAATCCCAACAACTGGTGCTTTGCCAATGCAGCTGTCCAATCGCTGCTATGGTGTATGCTGAGCCTGACACATTTTGATCCGAACATGTGGGGTTTGCAATGCAGTGCTTTAATGAATTTTCTTCATAAGTTGAACACTCAAGCTGGCAATCTTTCACAAGAATCCTTTTTTACTGAAGTGCTGCAGTGCTGGGGACCGGCTGACATGGCCGCCACTCAAAGTAGCATCTCACAACAGGATGCAGCGGAGTTTGTCCAGCATTGGTTGCAATTGTTGGCCACTGACACTTTTGACATGCGATGGGAGAAACGCCTGACAGTTGCAGATGATGTGCGGGTGATGGACACAAATGCCAAACATACTCCCATTTGTTTCAAGTTCAATGCGCAAACGATGCTCATGCAAACTTGTGATTTGACCTCCCTCGGCATTCACTGGCACCAGGATGATGGGATGCTCACATGTTTGGTGACGGCCTCTGATTGCTTGTGTCTTCACCTTGACCGCAGTGTACAAGGACCTACTGGAATTTCCAAGTGCCTTAGCCCGTTGCAGTCTGACACTGAAGTTTTGTTGCCAATCTTCATTGAGGGAGATACTGATTTTGATCATGTTGGATATACCATTGTTGCCCTGATGGCACATCAGGGAAGTGATGGCGCAGGTCATTATCGTACAGCCCTAAAGGTGTCACCACATGTGCGTGATCGCATTGACCCTGTGAGCTGGCTTCTTTTGGATGATTGGCGCAACCCTGAACCAGTCTGGAATCTCCCAGCTTGGTTCACCAGCACAGTGACTGTGATTTGGATGGTGCGAACGGATGTACTCCACCTGCATGCTTTTAGAAGGACTGCAGTTGAAGAATCCCAAAGAGCGCTGTGGGACATGCTTGCAACCAGGTCGACCCCTGGCGATGAAGCTCCTTGATGGTTTGACTGGCACGAGACTGGCGGAATCAACATTTTTTCACCATTCTTTATTTCTCCTGTCACATAAACATGTGATAAACCAATGGGTGCCAGGAAGTTTCCAACAAAGGAACCGCCTGTGAACAGGTGCTGGCCGGCATGGACCATTCTGCAGTGTGAAATGGCGTGTGCGCAAAAAAAAAACACACAGACACACAGACACACACAGACACAGACACACACACACAGACACACACACACACAGACACACACACACACAGACACACACAGACACAGACACACACACACACACACAGACACACACACAGACACACACACAGACACCACACAGACACACACACAGACACACACACAGACACACACACACAGACACACACACAGACACACACACACAGACACACACACACACAGACACACACACACAGACACACACACACAGACACACACACACACACAAGCCCTTTGCGGTCGCGAGAGCCGCATGCAAGGTCAGTTTAGTCTGACCTAGGAGTTTCTGCAGCCATTGCCCCCCGCCGTTCTTTCGTGGGTTCGGGACGCCATAGATTTGTGTGCAAGGGTTGGGCACCCGACATACTCCCTGGCCCTTTTTACAACCACTGGATTGCTCTTTCAAGGGACGGAGCACCCACGTTTTTCTGACTGTTCCCAACATCAGTGTTGACAGATCGTATACCCCTGCTGGTCAACGATACCCTTGTGGTGTACCTTCTTGATTTACAGATTCAACAATTGGACACGTGATGCGATTTACAGTTTTGAGGACAAGCATTTGGCTCACAACAATTTTGGCTCTTTGCGATTGCAACCCGGTCCCAATTCCGGGGACAACCTTAAATCAACCTGGATTCCAACATTGCCTTGACAGAATGCGCCAGAGGTCCATCCAGGAATTTGGTTACAATGCAACAACAGGTTGTCAGGGTGAGGGTTATCGTGGCTCCACAACCACGATACAAGCAGCAGGATGGGAACGAACGTTCATTGACCATTTTGCGAAAGGTGGACAACCACTTCCAGAGGACTCAGGTCCCAGACAGAGGACACCTTCCCATACAGCAGTACAGAAACGCAGTTTTAAAAGGGCTTGCAAACGGGCATTGCGGTATGGCTCTACGATGTATCATGGTATCATTTATACCCCAGCTGATTTTCCTTCACAACTTTTGGACAAGATGCAGTGGCCGGCCCGCAACATCAGGGACAAGGCCAAACCGATACAACAGCACCGGACGGCAGCTCGACTGCGCCTTCTTTGTTGGAACTCAGGTGGCATGTCGCAGGGGAAACTCCTGGAGCTACGACTATGGCTATGTCACCAATCCTATGACATCATCATATTGCCAGAAACGAAGTGGAGCTACAACCGCTGTTGGGAGGATGAGAAATGGCACTATATCCACTCTGCCACTGAAACCCCCAGGGTCGGCGGCATATTGATAATGATTGCCAAATCCCTCATCTCAGCAGAGCACATTGGCTACGACGCGGTTGTTCCTGGACGACTACTTCATGTTCGTCTGCATTATGTTCGACATGCCATTGATGTGATAGCAGTTTATCAGCATGCTGAAACGTCCAGCCACCACCACATTCAACAAAGGGAAATCTATTGGAAGACTTTGGATGATCTTTTGTATCGTGTCCCTCACAGAAATCAATTGATCTGTGGAGGAGATTTCAATTGTGCTACAACCGCAAAACCACCATGGATCGGCACAAGCACCTTCAAATGGAAAGGCCAGCATTTTGCAGGACATCAACATCGGGACATGCACACTTTGGGACAACTTTTGCAACGACATTCCTTGACTGCAGCTAATTCCTGGTCCGCTGCCACAGGACCATCTTACTTTCATGGGGATTATGCAGCCAGGATTGACTATTTCTTTCTTCGTTTACACAGTTGTGATGGCATTTCAAAACAGGCACATTATCTTCACCATGCGGATTTTTTACCTCTCAATCAAACCCATCATTTTCCATTAGTTTGTACCATCCCCAAAAAACATATGGTATTTCAATCCAAACAATTTGCATCGGCATGCAGCTATCGCCAACGGGCACATTGCCGTCATGCAAGCGAGCAGGAAACCGAGGGATGGCTTGCTCTAAGTCAGGAAGTTGCACACCATTGCAATCGACATTTGAGCCAGGCGATACATTCTGAGACCTGCATTCATGACCTCCATCAAGACATCATTCCTTTTTTCCAACAACATTTTCCTAGCAAATCTACAGTTTCTATGCGCACTGATCAGAGTGATGTTCACGGGCCCATTGAAACCAAATGGCATCATCGGAAATGTATTCAAGTCATTTCACATCAACAGGGAATCCATGACATTCACGATTGTTTGAAGGCGTGGTATCATTGGAGCCGTTTTCGAACTTTGCAAAGACTCCAACAACGGAACATCAGGCAGGCCAGAGCACGACGTTTTGCAACTCTCTGCACAGAAGCAACAGCCGCGGCTCAAATCCATGATTCACATACTTTATTTCAAATTATCAATCGACACTCCCCCAAACGACAAATCACGAAAGCACGATTGAAAACAGATGATGGACGCATTGCTGATCAATACATGGCTCATGCATTGACAGTTCAACATGTGCGGCAAACATGGCAAGGCCCTGACACCTTGCAACCATTTTCTGATCAGCCACCAGGGGTTCCGATGGAAGTATGGGACATTGAACAGGCCATCATGACATTGCACCCCAACAAGTCAGTAGCCAGTCCTTATCTCCCTGCTATCATTTGGAAGAGTGCCCCCAGAGAATTGGCCACCTTAATCCATCAATTGTTAACCAAATGGTGGTCCTGTGCGGTTCCTTACATCCCGCCTGAATGGCGAGATGCCTGGCTTTTCTTCATCCCAAAGCCAGGAAAGCCATGCACGCATCCGAGTCAATTGCGTCCAATTTCTTTAATGGAACCGATAGGCAAACTGGTTTTAGGAATCCTTACGGAGCAACTGAAACGTTTTCACCTGGTTCAATTGTGCAGTGAACCACAGTTTGGATTTCTTCCCAAACGTTCTGCTTTGGACGCAATCGCCAGAGTTACTCGACATTGCAACCTGATTCGAACCTTAGTTGCTTTGCAGCGCAGAACTGTTGCTCGACAGCGGACCACGAAACCTGAATACGCCTTTTGTGGAGGCCTTCAATTGCTTCTGGACCTCAGACAAGCATTTGATACTGTCAATCGACCACGTTTATTTCAATTTTTACACAGAAGAGGGACCCCCATTGAACTGCTCCACATTATTTCCTCATGGCACATGGATACACATTACAACCTTATTCACAATAACTCAACCGCCAGAATCCCTGTGAATGTTGGGCTTCGACAAGGATGTAAAGCCGCCCCCATATTGTGGGTGTTTTTCATGAGCCACTTTGTGGAACTGCTGCAAGAGCACATCGACCCCAGTTGGCTGCAAGAGGCACTGACAATGTACGCAGACGACCTGCATTTTGGGGCCACGTTTTACAACAAAACAGAGTTTCAACTGGCCTTGACTCGACTGGGCCACGTCCTGGATGTTTTGGAATCCATGCAACTCAAGCTGTCTTACGACAAGACCTTTGCCATATTAGCCACAGCGGGTTCAAATGTGACTAGAGGACTTAAAGGAGCAGTCGAGCGTCGAAAAGCTGGTATGGTCATCTTGCTTCCACGTGCGGGACAACAACCCAGCGCAATACCCTTGAGAGCTTCTGGAAAATACCTGGGCATTGTCGTTTCATATGGCACATATGAACGCTTGACATGGAGGCATCGCATGAAAGCTGCCAGAATTGCGTTTGCTCGACTGAGATGCTGGTTCAAGAGCAAACAATTTTTTGCACAGCATAGAGTACATCTCTGGATGGTTTGTGTGCACTCAATCATGACCTACGGTCTACATGCCACCAACGTGACAGTGAAGGTACTTCATGAATATCAACAGCTGGTCTATCAAATGATGAGACAGGTCTTGCATGACCACGCCTACATTTCCAGGAACACACATCAGCAGGTTTTTGACCATTTTGGCATTGCGTCTCCACTTGCTTTATTAGCCAGCCATGTTTCCAATTTATGGCGACGGCTACAAAGGCGGGCCTTGACACTGCCCTCCACGGATTTTTTGCACAATGTGGACTGGTCGCACTTACCGGGATTGATTCGACTTATTCAGTGCGTCGCTGACACAACCATTGAGGCTCCAATTGCTTCTGACGCGGCAGCACCAGTCAGGACACAGGCCCTGCACAGATGTCATGCTTGTACCTTTACAACCTGGTCAGTTGCAAATTTACGCAGACATCAAACACAACAACATGGATACAGTCAATATAGAACATCACCTATTTCACCACTTGATTTTGCATTGCATGGACAACCCCAATGTCGAAACTGTCTTCAAGTTTTCACCACATGGCGTCGATTTTTTATCCACATTGAGCGTAACTGTTGCCAGGTCATGACAAGTCCTGCCGATGTGACGCCTGGAGCTCATACACAGGATGGACACAGACCCCTGTCCTCCATGGACAGGCCTTGGGATCGACGTGTCAGCACAGAGACACATCCCTTAGGGACCAGAATGCCTGCACCCATTGCTGCAGAAGCCCAAATTTTTTGGCCATTGTTGCGTGACGTGGTGCAAACCTCAGCATACCATCGATTGCAAGAAGATCCACAGATTGGCAGTTTTCTGGCCCACAATTGTGTTATCTGCGGCACATGGTGCAATCGGTGCCAGGAATTACACAGTCATTTCCGGCTGAACCATCCCCACCAGATGCCAGGTGTTTTAGCAAGAGGTGCCCAAATCACCCATCAGATTGCTTCCCCAACACCGTGTGTGCTTTGCCAGAAGCCTTACAAGAGAAATCATAGCTGTCCAGTGGCCACCCAAGTGGCTTGCTTGCAACTACATGGACAAGACTCCACTGCCAATTCTGATGCCCTGAGGACTTGCATCATATGTGATCTCCTCTTGCCGGATATGGCGCAATTGCATCAACACCTGGGTCGATGCCACGATCTCCAGATCCCAGACTGGTGCCCAGCCAGGGACTCCTTAGAGGGGTCCAGTGCGTGTGCGCACTGTGGCACTACATTCGAGACACAAAGTGGCTTGCGCCGTCACATTTTGGACGGTCGCTGCGAGCGGTTTGACCCAGCGGCGTCACCGCAGCCACTGGATGCGGCCACAAAATGGACTGAGGTCTTGCAGCAAGGAGAGCTGACCAGGAGCACTCTGACTCCAGCCCAGCGCCAAGACTTGACATTAGTGTGTCAGTTATGTGGGCAGCGCTATGGACGCCAAAATGATCTTGGCGCACATCTCCAACATGCACACAGTCAGCTCTGGCAGGCATCCCAGGAAACACTCAGATTCCTGATTCAAGCGGTCCAAGCCAAACATGGGTGTCAATGCAACCCCAGCTGCCATGAACAAGGTCGCACACATGTGTGTACGTTGCTGCGTCAATTTTCCATGATCTTCATGCTCAGTCAACAAGAAACATTGGTTCCGACGCAGTTTCTCCTTGACAGGCTGCAGGTGTGGCTACAAAACATTGAATTCTTGCCCATGTACAGGACGATCCATGACACGCTGTACACCCGACAATTTGAAGATTTGTGGCAGCAACCGGGCCTGGCAGGCTTTCTCAGCACCTGGTGCGTTCAATGTGGCCTCCAACATCATCCAGCTGCACTTGTGGTGCATCACTGGCAACAACATCGAGACAACAGTCAGTGGGCGGCCCAGATCAAGTACCAGATTGTTACCAGCATGTTGGGATTGCAAGATCAAGACACCACATGCAATTTTTGTGGTCAACCAGTCAACTTGCCGACAGATCCTGCCAATGCACTGCAACCTGAACGTTTTATTGCACTGCAGATTCATTTTGCCTCAAATTGCCCCGTCGTGCATCAAGCTGCGCAACTTCTGCTTCCACTCGATGGACGAGACGATGCCAGACCTGGATCCGAACGACATGGAGCTTTTGGCCTCCTTCCGGGAGCTGGGGCCCCTTCTGCAAGCGGCCAGCCGCTATCAAAGAGACCTAGAAGAGGAACCCCATTCCAAGCGTCCCAAGCAAGAAGTGGGACACGAGGAAGCCAAACCAGTGGTCGTCCAACCCCAGGTACAGGGAGCCATGATGGGCATGATGAAAGTGATGGCCAGGTTATTGCTCCAACACGAACGGAGCATACAACTGCTTCACAGACAGGACTCCTTCGTTTTTTATGCCCAAGTCAGTCCTCAAGGCGCAGTCCCTCTGCTGACACAAGCGGCCGTGGAATGGAAGGACTTGCATCAGAAGAACCCCGGCAGTCTGAAGGTACCTACCCTCAGAACACATCTCATGAAGACTCTGACGAAAGAGATCCACCGCAGGGTGCAACAGATGAGCAACAGCAGCAAGGGCACAGAACTATGGGACCGAGCAGTAGAACGAGGAGTACTTCTCCCAGACGGGTCATGGCCGTACCAACGCTGGAGTCACACAGATCATCGTTTGATCCCAGCGGCCAGACCGCCCCTGCCGATGGCTCGACTCCTGAAGCAGCTTCAGCACATGGAAGAGTTGCTGGAGGATTCCACCCATGTGATCCGATTCCAGTCCCTGAAGGCTCAGCCTACAGTCATTCCCTGGTACCTCCAGATATGCATGCGGACGGACGAGATCTGGTTGATCCTGACCGAGCTCCAACAGCTGGCGATGTGGAGCCTCCTGGGCCTGACATTGAAGGCACACCAACAGGGGCAATGCAAGCAGGCCCAGCTCCTGCAGCAATGCCTTCAACAGAATCCCAACAATGCCAAAGGCAAGGGGAAGGGGAAAGCCTCGGGCAAGCACAAGAACCGCTAGACCCTGCCGCTATCCGAAAAGTTTTGCGACAGGCCATTCGAGATCTCAACATGGAAAATAGCGGGAATTGGTGCTATGCCAGCAGCGCAATTTTAGCCTTTTTGTGGGCCACTCTGTCACGGACCACATTTCAACTGACAGATTGGGGAGAATTCTCGGAGCTGTTTCAAGAAATGTTATCCAAACCAAAGGATACACCACTTGTGCTTGAGCAATTTCAATGGTTTCAGAGTCTCATTGAATCCTGGCCTGAACGACATGGCCAAGCAGACAGCACCGAGTTTTCCAACATTCTTTTGAAAGGGGTTGCATCACCCAGCACCTCCAATCGCTGGGAACGCAGGGTATTTCAGGAACAAAGAGTTGCAGTGCATGACATGGGAGACCAATTCATGCCCATCACCATACCATTGGATCCAGAACTCACTGAAAATGGCACCATACGCCTTGTTGACTTGATCAGGAACTGGCACAATGAGCTTGGAATGAGTGCAGGCCTCATGGACGCTGCTGACCTCATTTGCATCCATGTTGACCGTTTTCTCAGGCTGCCTACAGGCCAAGTGACCAAGTCATCCACGCCAATTGGATTTCACTGGGGGATTCCTTTTCCTGTTTTCACCCATGGCCCTGACAATACAGACTGCAGTTGGGAAGGTTTTCAGGTTGTTGCGGCCACTGCTCACCTCGGCTCTTCCGATGCTGGCCACTATCAATGCATTCTGAAAACTGGGCATGAGGCACGTGACAACCAGGAACCTGCACTTTGGCTTCACTGTGACGACAACAGGCCGCCCCGACCATGCTGGTATCTGCCCCCAGAGTTTGCTGCCGGCGTCACCAGTTTCTGGTTATGCAAGTGTGATTCATTGGAACTGCATGACATGCGTGATGACCCAAGTCCTGGGGTAGGCAGGACATTGACCATAGGTGCATCCGATCACCATGCCTTGCTCACCATGCTCAACAGCTTGCCGCACGGACCATAGCCCTGCTTCATGCTAGAAGCACCCATGGCCTTGACCCCCAGGTCAAGAGGACCCTTTTCATGCCCTCTGCAACCCAGAGCGTACCCCTGTTGGAAAGGACCCCAGAAGATGTCCAAAAAAAAAAAACATTCTGTTGCTTCCAAAAAAAAAACATTTGGACTAGTTATGTTTCACTGCGGTTTCACATTGACAGGGTCCACCCATTAGGCCACTGCCAAGCGACAGCCTTGTTTCACCATTGCCTTGCACTCACATCCGTGATTTGCTGCATGGGCATTTTGCCCCATAACCTGCCTAGTCGGCGATCCGAATGAGTAACTTCCAATGGATATGCCATTTTGGCATTGGAATTCAAAGGGCATTTTGCTCTCTGCTGGTAGTATACTGGCCTTTTTGCGTATTGGCATTTTGCCATTGTCCTGAGCCTAGCCGGCGCCTTTCACTGAACATTCCGCGTGGTGATCAACTTAGCGTTCCAATTGAGATGACTTTTGACACGGCCGCCTGTGCCACCCATGCCCCTGACCCCCTGTTGCCACCCTTTTCATGCCCTCCGAAACCCGGAGTGTACCCCAGCCAGAAGGACCCGAGAAGATGCCCAAAAAAAAAAAAAAAATCGTGACAATTCTGTTGCTTCAAAAAAAAAAACCATGGGAGTAGCATCCATAATCCTCCCTTACGTTTCACATGCCAATCATACAGCTGTGCCATCCTGTGTCCCTATGCCCGTCATTGTCGATTAGTTGAGAGCCTTCCATTTTGGTGCCATAGCACCCTTTTCAATTCTGCCGAAGTTTTCCAAGCCCTGACTGCAGCTGATTTACCAGAACCTGCAGCCTGATCCGACCCAATGCCATTGCCGAAGCTTGCAGATTGCCATCTTTTCCCCACTGATGCCAACCTGCTGATACGGATGGATCCTCGAAGGTAGATTCTCCAATGAGAGAACCAGCATGGTCAAAATACCATTGCTGAAGTGAGCGCCAGATTCTAATCAGAAAAGGAGCGGAGAAAAACACACACACACACACACACACACACACACACACACACACACACACACACACACACACACACACACACACACACACACACACACACACACACCCCCACACACACACACACACACACACACACACACACACACACACACACACACACACACACACACACACACACACACACACACACACACACACACACACACGGGTTTTGCATAATAGAGCTTGTTAGGAGCGAGGGTTGCATCTTAGTCATGGAAGATGCTGGAGCATCCCAATCAGGGACTTTTGCCATGCCTCACACACGTGATGCAAAGCCACATGACACGCGGCCAGAAACACAAGGACACACCCTTGACTGGCACCCTGCGCAACGACCCATCGTGAAACGAAGCATCCAGAGGGCATATGCCCGATCCCTTGACCAAGGGGTCGCCTGGTATCGTGGAAAGTGCTACACACCTGCAGACTTTCCCAAACAATTGCAATTGACCTATAAACCCAAACCAAAGGTGATTCAGGCATCACCGCAATGCATTATGCACTGCAACAAGAAGCATCAGGACGCCAGAAGGTTCAGAGTTCTCAACTGGAATGCTGGTGGACTAAGCGTCCATAAATTGGACGCTATCAAGGTTTGGCTACTTCATCAACAGATTGAAGCAGCCTTCATCACCGAGACACGCTGGACCTTTGAAAGCACGTGGATGGATGAAAACTTTCATTATGTGCATACTGGAAACCCTGATGAACGAGGTGCCGGCATCTTATGCATTCTTGCCAGAACCTTTTGCAGTGCCAATCACCTGCGCTGGAGAACGGTGCAACCAGGCCGCTTGCTTCATTTGCAAGCGCAAATGGACAAACGCTGCATTGATCTAGTTGGGTGTTATCAGTACACCACTGCCAACACTCGGGCCAGAGCCATTGCCAGAACACAATTTTGGGAGCATCTGGACCAGTTTTTGCATGGGTTGGTTCTTCGCAACATTTTGGTCCTGGCAGGAGACTTCAATTGTGATTTGCTGCAGCCTGCATCGCGTAGTGGCCCTGCCCACTTCTCCTGGAGAAACACCCACACCTGCGGAGCCCAGCACAGTGATAATGGTAGGTTTACCTCACTCATGCGCGAGCACAGCCTGACAGCTCTGAACACATGGCACACCGGCCTTGGACCCACATTCATCAACGCAGATGCATGCTCACGCATTGATTTCATAATCACACGCAAACATGTTGCTGATGGAATTTCAAAAGCAGTGAAGTATGCCTGGGATGCCCCATTCACAGGAGACTCTGGCAGACTCTGGCCATGCACCCATGATTGCACAGTTGCGCAGACAGTGGTACAACCCCAAGCAGCAATCTTGGCAATGGGGGGTCACGCCTGCACAGAGACTCAAGGGTCATGCGGCCTTCATGACCAATTCAGCACAGTGGCAAGCCTTTGTTGCCCAAGCTACCACCAGTTTGACTGCATGCCTTGCTGATGTGACGACCTCAGATGATGACCTTATCCCTACATTGCATCAAACAGCCATCCAGTGTTTTCATGAATTTTTTCCACTTGATAAACCAAAACAGAACCAATTTGATGAAACGACCACCAACCTTGTCATGTCCAAATGGCAGCATCGCAGGGAATTTTTGCGCTTGACCAGACCGACAGCACAGAATCTCTTTCAGGCATGGCGACACTGGACCAAGTTTGTTCAGCTGAACAAACAATCCAAGCAGCATGCCAAGCAACTTAGAAAGATGAAATTTGCTGAGGTCATTCAACAGGCACAGAACGCTGCACAGCGACATGACAGCCACACGTTATTCACAATAATCAATAAACATGCCCCCAAACAGTCACGCCGTAAAATGCAGTTGCGTAATGCCCAGGGCCATCTTGCATCACCAATTGAGGAAACTGCACTCCTTAAGCGATTCATCATGGATACATGGGAAGGGCCACCAACTTTCCCCACAAACGTGCCTCCTTGCTCAGGTATGCCTTTCTCACTGAGAGAATTGGAGACAGAAATGTGCCGCATACCGGCATCCAAAGCAGTGGCGCGCCCTTGTGCCCCTGGCACAGCTTGGCGCTCTGTCGCAATGAGCATTGCACCGCTGTTGTATGCCAGATTGGAAGCATGGTGGAACCGGCCTGAACCATTTTTGCCATGTATGTTTCGTGATGCTTGGATGATCCTTATTCCCAAACCAAACAAACAGCCTGTTCACCCAAGGGCTTTACGCCCTTTAGCACTCCAGGATCCCATCAGTAAATCCATTGTAGGGCTTTTAACCAGAATTGCCCAGCGTGAGGCGCATCCACAGTTCACCATGCTGCCCATTTGGGCATACCTCCCCGGCAGATCAACGCAAGATGCGTTGCGACGAGTGTCTCAACACTGTCGTGATGCCCAAGCTCTGATGAGTAGGTTGAGATCAACACCTTTCACACGACAACAGGGCACACAGAGACATTTGGTAGCGGGGGGGCTGCAGCTCTTTTTAGACATAGAACGAGCTTTCGACATGGTCAGCAGGGAATGCCTTTTCACCAAGCTGGGAGAACTAGGTATCAGCCCTCAAATTGTTTTGCTTCTTTCACTTTGGCATCAGCAAACGAAATACCATCTCTCCGACAGGGGTGCCGCGCGGCACCCCTGTTATGGAATGGATACATGTGGCTTTTTCTGACAGAACTAAGCCGTGCTGTTAGCCTGGAATGGGTCCTTAGGTGCCTTAATGTTTACGCAGACGATTGTCAGATGGGAGACCTTTTTCATTCCCAGTCCGAACTCAAACAGCTGATGCACAACATTGCTGTCACCATTGAACTGCTTACCAGCTTTGGACTCACCATCAATCCAGCCAAGTGCACAGTGCTCCACCCTGGGGGGCACAAACCACCGCAAAGTGCGGGCTTCCTTGACGACCTGGCGTGATGGGAAAGAATGGTTTTGCTTCACTGGCACTGCAAATCAGAAGTTTTGGGTTCCACTGGCATCCAGCGCCAAATACCTTGGCACAATCATTGCATACAAGAACATGGAGGACAAGACCACATTCCACAGAGTTCAGCTTGCACGCATTGCCTTCAGCCGTTTGAGACGCTGGCTCACCGGCCCCCGAGGGTTGAGCACTAAACAACGATTGCAACTGTTCACCACATGTGTTTTTCCCATTTTGCAGTATGGCATCCTGGCCATTGGCCTCACCTCAAAAGGATTGCAGCACATTCAGAAACACATGTACGGTATGCTCAGACAGGTATTGAACAATCATGCATATGTGACAGGACACAGCCACCAAGACGCCTTGGCCCAAAATCGTGTTGCTCCCCCTGTTGCATGGCTTCTGGACTCGATTGACAGTCTACAGAGGTCCCTGCACAACCGTGCAGCCAATGCCATCAGCACTGACATTATTCATCAACTGGATTGGACTCATCTTGACAGCCTGCAAACCACGCTGCATGAACAACTGTCGACAGGACCGGAATTTCTTGTGCAGCCTGCGGAAAGTGAAGTGCCCACTGCGCTTTACCAATGCCAGCAGTGTGATTTCAGCACGCCAGATGTAGCCCACTTCCGAAGACATTGCACGGTCATCCATGCACAGAGCATGTACAGAACACACCCTGCTGACCCCAAACAGTACATGTTACATGGCTTACCACAGTGCAAGTTTTGCTTCCGTAAATACACAACATGGAGATCATTTTGCATTCACATCCAACGCGGTTGCCAGGTACTTCTTGCAGGCCCTGCTGGCTGCTGGAAACAACCAGATCGGCCACTTGTCTCTGACCCGGCCCTGACACCAGCAATGTTCACAGATGCAATGGACAACCCTGTCCGTGGATGCCACCCATTGACAGATGCAGACCTTCGGAATCTGTTGAATCAGGAGTGGGGACGCAGAGTTCTCACCATTGTGAGCTCACGCAACTGGCACCACATGCTGAAGGAGACCGCTGCGTGTCAGTACCTGGCCAACAGATGCTGCCTTTGTGACCAATCCTTGGGACGCATACAGGACCTGCACCGACACTATAAGTTGCAACATCCAGAATACTGGCCACATGTTCAGACAAAAGGCATTCAGCTTAGCAACCTGCACACCAGTGAGGAGCCACCATGTCGATTCTGCAACTGGCCGTTCAAGACGAGCCACCAGTGCCCCATATGGCTGCAGTTGGCCATGATGCTGATATACGGCGGAGGTGTCCTGAACCCAGAGCAGCCACCGGCCATTCAGCGATGTGAGATTTGCGCAGAAAGCTTTCCCAACAGTGAGTCATTGCATGTTCACCTGGTGACCGAACACCGCCTGATCAGCAGCAGCTTCAACGCTGCCAGAGACAGCTTGGAGGGAGAACCGGTTTGTGCCCATTGCAACACCATGTATGACAACATGGAATCCTTGCGGTCACACATAAGCCAAAGCCGATGCCTCAATTTTGACCCTGCATTGCCGACAGAAGTGCTTGATGTAAGACCTGAATGGATTGCAGCTCTGTGTCAGGGTAAACTTGCAGATCATCTGCGCAATGCACATGTCAGACTCCAGCTGACTTTGCGGTGTCAGCACTGTCGAGCCAAGTACACTCGATCAGCTGACCTATCAGGTCACCTCCAAGCCTCGCATGGATCTCTATGGTCTGCGGCTCAACCGCTCACTGGTCACCTTGTTGCCCTGCTGTACGAACAGACGGGCTGCTTATGCAACCCTAGCATCAGCAGTCATCGCAGTCATCACACGTGTCTTCCCCTGACACAGCTGTCGATGCTTTACATGCGCCTGACCAAACCCATACTGTATACCCATGTCCCAACGGAAGAGGAATTGGCCACCATGTACTCCAGGCATTTGCACAGGGAACTCATATTTTTGCTAGAGAAGGCAATCACCGAAGGTCCCATTGACATGCACTGGAAGCATTCTCAGTTGGTGAAGCTGCTGAGGGATACCTGTGTGCTCTGCGCTGCTCCGATGCACCCTGCAGACCTGGTCATCCACTTGCACGAGGTGCACAACTGCAGACAGCCACTCATCAAATTTCTTATTCAGCAACTCATGCCACACTATGTTGCGGAACAAGAAGGAGATTTCCAATGTTTTGCCTGTGCACAAGTGTACAATACACCTGTGGCTGATGACTCATCTGACACTGCGGCAGCTCGGCTCCAAGTCACCCAGGCTCATTTGAGAGCTCAGTGCCCGCATTTGCTGCAGACTGCCATTATCCTTGGCAAAGCTGCCAGTGGCACCTATGGACGACGCCGAAATGCCAGACCAGACCGAGATGACAGAGCAGATTTGGACAGCCTTCCAGAACATGGCACCGCTGATCGACAAGACGCTGCAATTGGAGCCGAACAAAGCTGCACCCAAGCGGCAAAAAAAAGACGGACCCAACCAATCCGACACCGCTCAGGCGCTGCCTCCCAAGATCAACCTGGCACTGGCCATGACACAGCTGGCAAAACTGGCCCTGCAATTGGACAGGGAAATGCAGCTGCTGAAGAAAGAGGACACATTCCTTTTCTTTTTCGGCAACAAAGGGAGCGACAGCTGTCTTCACCTCCTCATGCAGACCACGGAGACATGGGCCCAGGAACACCAAGCCCAGAAGCAGGCCAATCAGGCCACCACCATGATTCCGTTGAGGCTCAAGCTCATGCAGGTGATCTTCACAACGCTTCTGAAGAAGCTGGACCAGCTGGGGGCTGCCGCGCCGGAATCGGAGCTGCTGCTCATGGCCCAGAAGAACCTGGTGTTGCTGCCGGACAAGACTTGCCCCTACCTCGAGTGGGATCACCAGAACAAGAGACTTCGGGCCAGCCAGAAACGGCCTTTGACTTTGAAGCATGTGCACCAACTTTGCACCGATATGTTGGAGGCCCTGAGCGACATCAACCTGGTGACCAAGTTCCACTCCCTGCCCATCAGCAAAAACACAGAGACGACGACATGGAAACTCCAACTCAGCTTGAGACAGGATCAACCTTGGCAGCTGATGCAGATGCTTTCTCACTCGGCCATCTGGCTGTTGATGGGGGGATCGCTGAAACCGCACAGTTTGACCCAGAGCCCAGTGGCACACCAGCTCCAACATACCCTGGGCATGTCGAACCACGGCAAAGGACGGGGGAAGGGGAAAACGAAGACCAAGGACAAGACGGCCAAATGAGATGCACCATGACCACGCAAGCCAGCCACCAGCTTGTTGATATGCAAAGCTTGCGCCCACATGTAGCACTTTTGACCTTGGAAAATCCAGGGAACATTTGTTTTGCAAATGCAGCCATCCTTTCTTTCATGTGGACGACGTTGTCCACTCATCCATGTGACTTCCAATCCTGGGGAAAGCAACGACAGATGCTGACAGACTTTCTTTTGGCTCATCATGACACGCATGCCAATTTATGTGAACAAAGATGGTTTCAAGAAATTCTGCGTTGCTGGGGCAGATTGCAACAGGATGCTGATCCTGGCCAGATTTCACAACAGGATGCTGCAGAGTTCATTCAAGTCTGGCTGACCCAGCTGGACACCACTGCTTTTGACATGCGGTGGGAACGGCGCTTGGAAGAAAATGATGGAGTTCATGTTTTTGATAACAGTGGACAACACACGCCAATTTGCCTTCGATTTGATGACAGACTTGCTACTGCCCACTGCTGTGACATGACCCAACTGATCCTTCTTTGGTGCCAGGTCGACGGTATGAAGACGGCTCTCCTGAATGCGCCGCCCTGTTTGTGCATCCACCTTGACAGATGCATGCCTGATGACGCAGGACAGATTCACAAGAGTGAGTGTTTGATCAACCTTGACACCTGCTGTTTGATGCCCCTCTTTCAGGGTACAGGACTCACGACAGAACCTGTGGAATATCAGATAGTTGCTCTCATGGCACACCTGGGCAGTGATGGACAAGGCCACTACCGTGCAGCCTTGCGCATAGCTCAGACATTGATCAGTGAAACGACCCCGGCGGAGTGGCTGCTGACAGATGATTGGACACACCCAGTGCCCACATGGAGAGTCCCCAACTGGATGATTCGCACTGCCAACATCTTCTGGCTGGTGCGCACAGACCTGCTTCAGCTGTATCGATATGGCCTACGCATGCCTCAAGGAGACAGCACCCAGACCAGCCATGCAACACCAGAGACATAGCCATGCACGGACGGAAGCCAGTTTTTTTGCTGCAAAATGGAACGCCAATTTTTCCTTTCACAGCTGCATCAAATGAAGATTCAGCCATACCTTCTTACAATTCTCCAAAGCGAAGTTGCATTGCAGGGGCCAGAGGATTCCAAAGCGGAACCGTAGCAAAGCTACGCTGGCTGGCACGAACCTTTTGGGCAGACATAAAAAGGAGTGTAGGAAAAAAAACAAAAACAAAAACAAAAACACACACACACACCCACACACCCACACACCCACACACCCACACACCCACACACCCACACACCCACACACCCACACACCCACACACCCCCACACACCCACCCCACCCCACCCCACCCCCACCCCACCCACACCCCCACCCCACACACACCCACACCCACACACCCACACACCCACACACCCACACACCCACACACCCACACACCCACACACCCACACACCCACACACCCCCACACACCCACACACCCACACACCCACACACCCCCACACACACCCCCACACACCCACACACCCACACACCCACACACCCACACCCACACACCCACACACCCACACCCACCCCCACACACACACCACACACCACACACCAACACACCAACACACACACACACACACACGGCGAGGCATCGCCGGATTCCAATTAGCTGGGTCCAGCTGCCAAGGCTAAAAAAAGTGCGGCTTGGCCACATTCAAACAGCAGCACCCTGAAGGACGGCACGGGCCTACGGGAATGGCCCGTATTGCCTAAAGTTACTTTCTGAACCTACAAGAAACTAGCTTTGTTTTTGCTATTAATGCTTTCTCCTGCCTTCTTGTTTGTTTTTGCTCCTCGCCCCTTGCCTTCTTGCTCTTGCTCCTTGCCCTTCTTGTTTGCTGCGTGGTGCTGGCCAACCAAACCAAGTCCAGCAGCCAAGCCTCGAAACGAGGGCTCGGCCACATTCAAACAGCAGGGCCCTGAAGGACGGAACGGGCCTAGGGGCAATGGACCATACTGCCTAACGTTGCTTTGTGAACCGAGAAGAAACCAGCTCCAAATTGCAGCCTCCAAGCCTCCAAATTGCAGCCTCCAGGCCTTCAAATTGCAGCCTCCAAGCTTCCAAAACAGTGCCAGCGCCACAGCGAAACACAAAGCTACTGAAGGACGGACCACGCCTTCGGCCTGCGGCTGCCTGTGCCTAACGTCGCTTTTGAATTGCCAAGAAAGTCGCTCCAAGCCTCCAAATTGCAGCGTCCACCGCCACAACAGTGCCTTCACCTCCTCCAAATCCCCATGCACCTGAAGGACGAGGTGAACCAGGCCGATGGGGCTGCCACTGCCTAACGGCGCTTTCCGAACCGAAACTAGCTCCAAAAGAATCTCCCACGCATAAGAAAGGGGGGCTGCCACTGCCTAACGTTGCTTTCTGGAAAAAAGCAAGCTTCCAAACGCCATCCCCATGTTCCTGAGGGACGAGACGTGGGGCTGCCACTGCCTAACGTCACTTTCTGAACCGACAAGAAACTAGCTCCAAAAAGCATCTCCCACGTCTAAGAAAAGGGGGCTGCCACTGCCTAAGGTTCCAATGCGGAACGTAAAGAAGAAAGCAAGCTTCGAAACGCCAAATCCACGTGCTCCTGAAGGACAAGGCGCGCTCAGGCCGATGGGGCTGCCACTGCCTAACGTCGCTTTCTGAACCGACAAGAAGCTAGCCCCAAAAAGCATCTCCCACGCCTAAGAAAGGGGGGCTGCCACTGCCTGAAAGCAAGCTTCGAAACGCCAAATCCCAAAGCTCCTGCAGGACGACGCGGTCCAGCCCGACCGAGCTGCCACTGCCTAACGTCGCTTTCTGAACTTACAAGAAACTAGCTTCAAATTGCACGCCATCTTACCCCTTGCTGCTGGTAAGAAACTAGCGCCAAATCCAAATTGCAGCCTTCGAGCTTCTTCTTCTTCTTCTTTTTCTTCTTCTTGTTGCTTCCTGACTTCTTGCTTCTTGCTTCTTGCCCCTTGCTACTTGTAATAGCTTCTTGCCCCTTGCTGCTTGTAATTGCTTCTTGACTTCTTGCTTCTTGCTTCTTGCCCCTTGCTGCTTGTAATCACTTCTTGCCCCTTGCTGCTGGTAATCTGAACCGACAAGAACCTAGCTCCAAAAAGCATCTCCCACGCCTAAGAAAGGGGGGCTGCCACTGCCTGAAAGCAAAATTCGAAACGCCAAATCCCCATGCTTCTGAAGAACGAGGCGGCAGGCCGATGAGGCTGCCACTGCCTAACGTCGCTTTTTGAACCGACACGAAACTAGCTCCAAAAAGCATCTCCCACACCTAGGAAAGGGGGCTGCCCCTGCCTAACGTTGCTTTCTGATACATGACGAAGAAAGCAAGCTTCGAAACGCCAAATCGCCATGCTCGTGAAGGACAAGGCGGCCCAGCCCGACCCAGCTGCCACTGCCTAACATCGCTTTCTGAACCTACAAGAACTAGCTCCAAATTGCACGCCATCTGAGTTTAGAGGCTCAAAACGCCAAATCCCCATGCTTTTGCAGGACGATGCAGCCCAGCCCGACCGAGCTGGCACTGCCTAACGTCGCTTTCGGAACCGACAAGAAGCTAGCTCCAAAAAGCATCTCCCACGTCTAAGAAAAGGGCGCTGCCACTGCCTAAGGTTGCAACGCGGAACGTAAAGAAGAAAGCAAGCTTCAAAACGCCAAATCCCCATGCTCCTGACGGACGCGGCGGCCCAGGCGTTACTTTCTGGAACATAAAGGAAAAAGCAAGCAGCTTTAAGCTTTAAGCTTTTCTTCTTCTTCTTCTTCTTCTTCTTCTTGCTTCCTGACTTCTTGCGTTTTGCTTCTTACCCCTTGCTGCTTGTAATTGCTTCTTGACTTCTTGCTTCTTGCTTCTTGCCCCTTGCTGTTTGTAATAACTTCTTGCCACTTGCTGCTGGTAATCTGAACCGACAAGAAACTAGCTCAAGAAAGCATCCCCCACGCATAAGAAAGTGGGCTGCCACTGCCTAGCGTTAATTTCTGGAAACAAAGAAACAAGCAAGCTTCGAAACGCCAAATCCCCATGCTCCTGATGGAAAGGCGGCCCAGGCCGATGCTCCACGTCTAAGAAAGGGGGCTGCCACTGCCTAAGGTTGCATGCGGAACGCAAAGAAGAAAGCAAGCTTCGCAACGCCAAATCCCCATGCTCCTGAAGGACGAGGCGGCCCAGGCCGATGAAGCTGCTACTGCCTAATGTCGCTTTCTGAACCGACAAGAAGCTAGCATCTCCCACGCCTAAGAAAGCGGGGCTGCCACTGCCTAACCTTGCTTTCTGGTACATGACGAAGAAAGCAAGCTTCGAAACGCCAAATCCCAATGCTCCTGAAGGACGCTGCGGCCCAGCCCGACCGAGCTGCCACTGCATAACGTCGCTTTCGGAACCTACAAGAAATTCTCTCCAAATTACAGGCCAGCTTGCCCCTAGAGACTCAAAACGCCAAATCCCAATGCTCCTGAAGGACGGCGCGGCCCAGCCCGACCGAGCTGGCACTGCTTAACGTCGCTTTCTGAACGTACAAGAAACTAGCTTCAAATTGCACGCCATCTTGCCCCTAGCTGCTGGTAAGAAATTAGCGCCAAATCCAAATTGCAGCCTTCAAGCTTCTTCTTCTTCTTCTTCTCCTTCCTCTTGCTTCCTGGCTTCTTGCTTCTTGCTTCTTGCCCCTTGCTACTTGTAATATCTTCTTGCCCCTTGCTGCTGGTAATAAACTAGCTCCGAATCCAAATTGCAACCTTCAGGATTCTTCTTCTGCTTCTTCTTCTATTTCTTATTGCTTCCTGACTTCTTGCTTCTTGCCCCTTGCTGCTTGTAATTGCTTCTCGACCTCTTGCTTCGTGCTTCTTGCCCCTTGCTGCTTGTAAAAACTTCTTGCCCCTTGCTGCTGGTAATTTCTCCTCTGACACGTTCCCCCTGCTGCAAGCGGGGCTGGCGGATTACCAAGGTCTTCACTCAAATTCTAGCATTGCGCATCGCTTGTGCATGTGGTTCAAGGGAGCAGGACTGTTGAACCCTGCAATCTGTCTCTTTTGCTGGGGCGGGTCTGAGCAATGACACAAAAAGACGAGCTACGCTTGCCGATCGAGAAAGCCCAATCCAAACAGCAAGAGGCAAGGAGGGTCTTGACTCATCTACAACTGAAGAGAATTGGTGGATAGTAGTAATAGAATGTACTGTAATAATGTAATAGATACAGATAATGATAGTATGGCTGATCCCACCCGAAAGGTGCTAGTGTTTGGTACCAGACGCAGTTTGTTGTCTTCTGCTCTGAGAGCAGCCCCCCCCCAGTAACACCGAGACATCGCTCTTAATGAAGGCAACGGAATCAAAGGGCTGAAGCATCCTGAAACATCTTTCCCTAATCCTGTGCAATTACCGTCATGGCCAAGAAGTCAACATCGGTCTCATTTTTCCTCCGAGTGACGCCTGGCTGATGCCTGGCGCAGGTAGAGGCCGCCCCAGGTTCACCAGTGCCGCCAGTTGCTTGCAGTGAAGACGAACATGTGCGTCGCGTCTTCGGCGATGTGGGTGTGCCTCCAGCCACTTAGTTGGGATCCTTCAGGGGTGCTGCCAGAAGTCCGTTGGTTGATGCAGGGTGGATGATTGGATGTATGATGGATACGTAATATTAATATGTATAATATATATATATATATACACACATACACAATACAATACAATACAACACAATACAATACAATCATTACATTACAGTAAATACCACATTGCAGTATATACCACATTACAGCATATACTACATTACAGTGAAGTACAGTACAAAACAATGCATTGCAATACAATACAATGCAATGCAATGCAATACAAAACATACAACACATACGATACATACAATACATACAATACATACACAGATACACATACAGATACACATGCAGATGCAGATGTTCATGTTCATATTCATATCCATGCCCACATACCTACCTACTTACTGACTGAC